TCCGTTCGAGGACGAACGGTTATTTTAGAGGTGGAGAATATGATGATTCAAAAGGTCATCTTATATTTTAGAACTCGAATCTGCGTTCTTAAGCCTTAGAAATCGCATTTTTACCCTCTTCGATTTGCGTGCACAGTCCGAGCAGGTTTTCGAAAAGCTTTTATGTTGAAAACTAATGAAAATAAGAATTTTTGCCTTAAAAGTTGATTTTAGTTGACTTCGGTCAACATTTTTTGTAAACGGGCCCGGATATGTGCTTTGACGGTCCCGATAAGTCCGTATCGAATTATGGGACCTGGGCGTATGCCAAGAATCGAATTCGGAGGTCCCTAGCTTGAGTTATAAATTTTTGATGAAAATTAAAAGTCTGAAATTATTTATTTTTAAGAATTGATTGATATTTGGCATTGTTAGTATCGGGTCTGTATTTTAGTTCCGTAGCCCGGTACAGGTTCATTATGATATTTAAGACGTGTCTGTGAAATTTGGTGAGCAACGGAGTTGATTTGACGTGATTCGGACGTCCAATTGAGAAAATAGAAATTTTAAAGTGTTCTTGAGAATTTCATTTGATTTGGTGCTAAATTCGTAGTTCTAGGTGTTATTTCGGAGATGTTATCGCACGAGCAAGTTCGTATGATATTTTTAGACTTGTGTGCATGTTTTGTTTGGAGCCCCGAGGGCTCGGGTGAGTTTCGGATAGGCCACGTGATGTTTTGGACTTAGAAATTTTAGTATTTTGTTGTAGCAGGTGTTCTGGCATGTCCTTCTTCGCGTTCGCGAAGGTATTCTCGCGAACGCGAAGAGTAAACTGGGCAGCTGAAGTTTTCTTCTTCGCGAACGCGAAGGCTTAGTCGTGAACGCGAAGCGATGGGGGCGTTACCCTTCGCGAATGCGACCAGCTCCTCGCGAACGCGTAGTGTTAGGCACACCTGGGGGAGGGTTGGTCGTTCCTTCATCGCGAACGCGAGCAATGTCTCGCGAATGTGAAGGCCAGAGGGGAGTAACCATCGCGAACGCGAGGGTCTCGCAAACGCGAAGTCTTGGCAGCCAGTACCTCTGGCGAACGTGACAGTGGCCTCGCGAACGCGATGCACACTGTCGCTCAGTGCATAAAATAGAATCAAACACAGGCTTAACCCATTTCTTCAACATTTTTCAAGAACCAAACGGGTAGAGGCGATTTTCAAGAGTCATTTTCTTCCCCTAAGTGTTGGTAAGTGATACTAAACCATTTTCTTTCAATTACCCATTACATTTCTTGAATTATCAACCTAAAATCTAGAGTTTTCATGGTAGAATTAGGAGTTAGGGTAAAAACTAAGAATTTCGGAAATTTGGGGATTTAGACATCAACTTGAGGTCGGATTCCAAAACCAATTATATATTCGGGCTCGGGGGTGAATGGGTAAATGAATTTTGGTCCGAACCTCGGGTTTTGACCAAGCGGGTCCAGGGTCGATTTTTTGAGGAAAATTTGGGGAATTTAATTTACGCAATATAATTGATTCCTTTAGCAATATTTGATATTATTGAGTCATTTTTAAAGAGATACGAGTGGTTTGGAGGTGAATTCCAAAGGAAAAGTTGTGATTGAGAATTAAGTGGACTTCGGAGCGAGGTAAGTGTTGTGTCTAACCCTGACTTGAAGGAATTAGGAACCTTAGATTACTTGTTAAGTGAAATTCATGTGAGCGGCGTATATGTGAGGTGACGAGTACTTATGCGCCGCCAATTTACCTGTTTTTCATATTTCTCTATTTTTCTTATATTGTCTCTTTCCTATGCCTAATTGCTACGTGTTATACTAGTGTTGTTCAATTTATCGGTCTTATCATATTTACGGATTTTCTGGTGATAATTGAGTATTTATTTCAAAGTTGAGATTAATATTATGGAACCAAATGTTGAAGTAAGGTTTGTACTTGTTATTATATCTCCCTGTTGTTATTTATGCATTACATTATGATAAGGGATAGTGTTAATGCACGAAGGGTGATGTCGTGCCACGTTGTGAGTATTACTGCACGAAGGGTGATGCTGTTCCATATTGTGAGTGTTAATGCACGTAGGGTGATGCCATGTCATATTGTGAGTGTTAATGCAAGAAGGGTGATGTCGTGTTACATTGTGAGTGTTAATGCACGAAGGGTGATGTCGTGCCACGTTGTGAGTATTACTGCACGAAGGGTGATGCTGTTCCATATTGTGAGTGTTAATGCACGTAGGGTGATGCCATGTCATATTGTGAGTGTTAATGCAAGAAGGGTGATGTCGTGTTACATTGTGAGTGTTAATGCACGAAGGGTGATACCGTGCCATGATATGGGAGTTAATGCACGAAGGGTGATACCGTGCCATGATATGGGAGTTAATGCACGAAGGGTGATGCCATGCCATTTCTATTGATTTTATGGTGAGATTGAGAGTAAAAACACGAAGGGTGATGTCGTGCATTTTTCCTTACTGTACTCACTATTCCTGTTGATTCATGGTATATTGACTGCTCCGGTGATTATTCTGTTGTAGTTCTTTATCTTGTATTCCCCTCAGTATGTTCCCCTCCCGACTTTTCCTGTTTAGTTTTTTATTTTTGTTATTTGTATATACATTATTAAATTGTACAGGTTGATTTGTAGGTGCCTTGCCTCAGCCTCCTCACTACTTCGTCGAGGTTAGGCTCGACACTTGCCAGTACATGAGGTCGATTGTACTGATACTGCACTCTGCACTTTCTGTGCAGTTTTTGATACCGGCTCAGGTTGATCGAGATTTTGCTATTGGTCCGCTGTCCGAAGACTCAAGGTAGATCTGTCGGCGTTCACAGACCTTAAAGTCCCCGTCTATCTTTTATGTCCTACTGTTTTCTTTCATTCAGACAGTTGTATTTCTTTCAGACTATTACTTGTAGTGAATTCTAAAATGCTTGTGAATTGTGACTCCAGATCCGGGTGGTAGTAATTAATACAGTTTTATGATATTTCGCACTTATTATATTTTATCTTAATTAATTATTGTTAATTACTGAATGGGAATAAGAAATTAGTTTAACGTTGGCTTGCCTAGCAAGTGAAATGTTAGGCGTCATCACGGTCTCGTCAGTAGGAAATTTTAGGTCGTGACACCCAACTATCATTTGTATCATTCTATTTAGGCAAAATAGCCTCATGACCACTTAAATTTGCACCTGATTGCCAATCCGGTAAAGGAACTTATAACTTTCCCATTTGAACACCTCAACTAGTACATATGTAAACCAATAAACACCTTTGAATATTGACTATACTTATGTGGCAAGAGCACATGTGACATGGACAAAGTGCGTGCAGCTCACATAATTAGCGCGCGTGAGTACAATAATTTTGGATTAAAAAAAATTTTAAATCAAAAAATAATAATAAATGAAAAAGAAAGAAAGGCCCACATCCCATCCCTTTCTTTACCATTACACCAGTTCCCTCTTCTTCTTCTGCCATTGTACGCCAACCCCCAACCTATACATCCATTTTCTTTCTCTTACTTCCAAATCAAACGTAACAATTTTACTGTCACAAGCACCCTTTAATTTTCTCCCAGGCTATTCTTCCACTAAAAGTCAAGATTATAGTTGAGAGGGAGATTAAGAATCTAAAACTTGTATGCCAATTTTTGAATTAGGCAAAAACAAAACAAAAATCAAATTTGGAATTCCAAAAGAAGATCAACGATGGCTTCAAAGTGGGGGAGCATTCTGGTGTAGTTTTGTGGTGGCCCATAGGTGGGAAGGGAGTAGTGAGCTTGTGGTTTTAGAGAGAGAACAACTAATCGAGTTATCTTTGTTGCTTATTTTTTCCTTTTTTCTGATCTATGCGTAGATAAATTCTAGTGATTTTGACTTATTTGTGGTGGTGTGGTGGTGTTGGCGATAGAGATGTGAGTGACGAGTTGATGTGGTGTGTTTGGGTGGGAAAAAATGGTAGGGTTGGCTTATCTGTAGAAGGCCATGAAGAAGAAAAGGAAAATCATGAAATTATTTAATAAATTTGTTAAAATAAGTGAGACCCATAAATTATACATGTCAAGCCACAACTAGTCCTAGAATATGACGTGTTATAATGTTAGCGCATTTGATATACACGCTCCATTTGAAAGGTTTATTAGTTCACAAATGTATGAGTTGAGGTGTTCAAATGAAAAAGTTATAAGTTCCTTTACCGGGTTGACAATCAGGTACAAGTTTAAGTGGTCAGGAGGCTATTTTGCCTTCTATTTACTTTAGTTTTGTTTTGTGTTTTTTTTTCTTTTTAAAGTTGTCATGTTCTACCATGTCATGCAAAGAAATCTCAACAACTAGGGTGATGGTAATCAGTTTGAGAGTTGTTAACGCTCTCATCCATAATTTGATATCTGAGATACGTCGATTTGGTGATGATGAGTTGAACGAGCGTGGTAGTAGTACTCACCAAAACTTGGACATGGTATGGTATAAAATTATTTTTCAATGTTACAAAGATCTTATGTAGAGTTGTTAATGGTTCGGCTCACCCAGTTATCTTAAGATATTTATATCGTATAAATTTTTGGTTCATTACTCTATTGTGTATGAAGAAAATGGTATTTTTTTAAAACAGTTTCAATTATCTCGATTTCTTTTTAATGTCGGTACGCTTTGATTAATAACTAATCAAAGAAGATTAGCTTGTGGTGGTTCGACTCATCTTTTATTCTCCTTATTCAACCACTTTGAGCATTTTGGAACTCATTCAACCACTTTGAGCATTTTGGTACTCACTACAAATCACGAGTTCAAGTCATGGAATCAACCATTAATGCTTGTTAGAGGCGGGCGGTCTATATCACACTACTTGGGCTGCGACCATTTCCCGGACCCTACGTGAATGCAAGATGCCTTGTGCACCGAACTGCCCTTTATACTATTTCGTAAAAGTAATGATTTATTCTTTCATATGCTAGTAATATTTTCCTCTACCAAATGCAGGCAAGAGAAACAAGTAGCAAATCTTCCACCAACACACAGTTCATAACAATGGAAAGTTAAAGAAAGTAATATATTCAATGATTATTAGCTTTACAAGCACCCTTCCCCATCCTAGCACCCTTTTTCTCCCTTTTTATTATAAGGGTCGCATCCGGAAAAAAAACATGTGCACAGCTCGACTGGTTCACCAAGTATCTGCTACCTCCACTAGCACAAGTATCGAGTAACTCTGTACACCAAGGTTAAGGTAGATGAAAAGAAATCACCAAACATTAATATTTTTCCGAGTTGAGAAAATCCTTGCAACTTTCTCTACTGGTAGTTCCTTTCCTCTTTTAGTTCTTTGGACAAGCTCAATGAACTGAACAGCTAGCCCTCCAATGCAAAAAGAGTAACAGACTAGTTGCTCTTGATTGTGTCAGTGACCACATTCAAATTCTTCACCTTTTACAACAAAAAACCCAGTGTACTCCCACAAGTGGGGTCTGGAGAGAGTAATGTGTACGCAGACTTTACTCCTACCTTGTGAAGGTAGAAATACTATTTCTGATAGACCTCCGGCTCAAGGAACAGTGAAGCGGAAGCAACCAACAAAAATTCTTCACCTTTTCTTTCAGAAGCTTAACTTTAACAAATAGGCATGTCGAATAACAAAATTCAGAGGCTGCCATCATCTGCAAACAGCAATAGAGTGCGAGGAATCCTACTCAAAAGTCAAAACCGGCCTTCGGATCAGTGAGGAGTGCCTATACGGATCTGGAAACGACTCCCACTAGACTCTGTGTAACTCAGATGATTAATAGATCATGGAAGTAACATTTACGCAATGTCGCTAGGCTACATTTTCTTTCTTCGATTCAAGTAAAAAAATCCGCTTCTTAGCAGAGTCCAGAAATAATCCAAGAAATCAGCTGCATGGTTATAACTCGCCAAGAAACATTATATCAAAATCATCGGAAGAGGTGAATTTCATAAAGTACTAGGGACTGGTCATAAGTCGTCTGTCCTCATCATCAATTCCTCATCGGTAGACTAAGATACAACTCAAATTTTCTTGAACTCTGATTATTTAGCCAGCTAGCTACAAAATTCTCATCTCAGTAAATCAGATTCTCTTTTGCGTCTATAAGAATAGAATGAATCAACAACTACTCTTCCTACCCTTCTGTTTTTTCTCGTTCTTTTACTTACACTTCTCTTCCTTTCCTTTTCAGATTCAGGTTGAGCCATAGGGACACAACTGAGCCATCCCAGCGGCAGTAATGCTGCAATAAACTGGATAAGTATCCCAATATGCAGATTTGAGTAGTCACCGGACGTTATACCAAGGAAAGTAGCCAGGGCAACACCTAGAAACCCACTAAATATTGAAGACAAACACAGAGCCGACGCCAAGAAAGACATGAGAGATCCTTCAAAGCCAGATGGAGCCAAACTTGCAAACAGCACATGGAACGGCAAGAGCTTAAAAATTGCAATAGTTTCTGCTAGACCCGAGAAGCAAAGAGCAAACCATTCATTTGGAATTCCCATTTTGAGATTAAGCTGCTTTACAAGTACAAGGTCAAGCAGAAGAGAAGCAGCATATGTAATCTGAACGATGCTAATCAGTTTTCTCATTGGAACCCTTTTGCCAAATCGATCATACAAGACTGTCAAAGATAGAAGCATCATATGGCCTATCACCTTTGACATCCCTATAACAGACGGATCAAGATTTAGGCATTGTGTCTGATAGCAAAAGATAGATCCAGAGAGGGCTGGGACTGCTAAAATGGACACAACAATCCATATAAGAGGACGAGCAATACTTTCTTCTCTAACTGCTATCAGAAGATCCGAATACTGTTTTCGAAATATTTCCGTGATTGGTTCCCTAACAGCAGAATATTTTAATGATTGAGCTAAACCAAGGGACGCTTCTCTGGTACCTGAAGTTACTGCTAGTTGAAGAGCAAGCAGAGCGGAAAAGGCTAGAAACATTAACTTAGGTTGCTGTGTTTTGAGTAGGAAATATCCTCCGATAAAGTTGCCTAAAATTCCACCGGCAGCTGAGGCCATAAATGCGTAAGATTGTAGACCAGCCATTCTGTTTCTTTGACCATATTCAGCCACTAGCGCATCTTTGGCAACTTCTGTAATGGATGCTCCGACGTTGCTAAGAAGAACACAAGCCATAATAGCAGGAAGTGCTTCACTTGCAGCGGAGATTAATGCTAATTGACCCCAAGCCAAAACCTGGAGGAAAACTGAAAGAGTACATATTAGTACTTGAACAATATTTCTACAAAGAGATTCTACTTTTTACTGTCACTATATACCGTTATTTATATAAAACGGATGAATAATTAAGCCAACAATTGCCTTTGGCCACCTCAACTTCACACGCACGCGTGCCCACCTCAATTTCTTCACACGCACGAGTGCGCACACACACACACAACAACAAAGAAAAAACAAGAGAAGGAAAACATAGCCGATAGCGAAGAACAAGATAAGTTGAATTTGCTAAAGAAGTAATTCAACTAAAGAAAACTTTAATGCATATTGGATTGCAATAGGTGACCTCTCAAACCTACCAATGATATTTGTTGTTCATAAATCCTGGTAATAATTTAGCGTCAGAATTAAAACAGTGCACTTTAAAACTAATATTAGAACTTGTTTCAAAGGTTCTATTACTTAAATTTTGACTTTGCTACACTAAATTATGTCCATTGTAATCAGTCCTCCCCACAAAGCGAGGTTTTTAAATTGTGCTCTTGAATCTCATGATTTTCTACTTCCAAACAATGAATTTGAAAGGGTATCCCTTGTTTTACACTAAAGATCAGTATCTTACCTATAGAGCGGGGGAGGATTTAGGGAAGCGGAAGGGTTCACCCGAACCCCCTTCGCCGAAAAATTACACCGTACATATAAGGCAAAATCTGTTATGTGTCTCTATATATTATATTTTGAATCCCCTCGACACAGCCCAAAAGCATATCTCAGTGGTCAAGGGGGTTCAAAACCTTTGTGAGGTGGTTGTTTCAATTCCCACCGGCCATAGTCTCTTTTAATTTTTTAACTTTTTTCCTTTTTGGTAACCCTTAGCGGAAATCCTGCCTCCACCACTAATGTAGAGACCTTTCCCTACTATGAGAGGAAACTAAAAGCTGCAGCTAACTTTATTCTAACAACCTTTACACGTTAAGAACTTATTTCCTATTGAAGTCACCAAAATCAAAAACAACCAAAAGTGTAAAAAGGACCTTAAAAAAACAACACTAACACAGAATACAAAAACAAAGAAAACTACTAAATCTTGAAACTCAAATATACCAGCAAAGGCCAAAGATATGACAAATCAAATAAACCAAAGTAAAGGGGGAGAAAATATTACCTCCAATAGAAATATAAGGTATTCTATGAGCACCACCAATATAAACAGCATCAGACAAAATACCATAAATAGGCTTAGCAACCATAGGTAAATTCCCAGAATACTGCACAAGTTGTAATGTAGATGGAAGCATATTTAATCCATCTGCCATGTGAAAATTAAGAGCCAACCAAGGAAAACACCTAAAACCCTGTACCCAATACCCAACCCCACATAATATTGCCATATTTTGTTGACTCCCCATTTGAGAAAACCCAATCTTTTCCTCAAAAAAACCTTTTTTCTTGACATTATTAGGAAGAGAAACTTGCTTAACTTTTTTCTGAGGGCCTATTATCTTTATCAGATGTGTTTTGGAACAAAGATTTTGCTGCTGACAACATGAAATAGATTTGTTCAAACATGATAAAGATTGGTTTTTTCTAATAATTTGGACATTGGAGAATAAAGGGTATCCACTGGAAACTACTGAACAAACCATTATTTTGAGCAAAAGGGTGTATTAAGCTCAGGGTTTGATTCTTGATTTGGGGTGTTTTTTCTGAATATTTCAGAAAGGAAGGGAGAAATCTAGAAGATAATAAGGAATAGAAAACATATTTTGTTACTTATATGTTTTTCTTTTTTAATCTAAAGTAGTGTGGGAGAAGGATTATTTAGTTAGTTTAAAGAAAGAAGAAGAGGGTTCCAGCTGATACCTTGGACAGACAACAGCTTTGATACTAGTTTTAAATTTACTCGGCCTGTTCTTTTCTATGCAGATTTGAAGGGACCCAATCACTAACCCCATTGGGTATTTGTTTTACACGTGTCGGCACACACATTAATTTAGATCTTGTTTCCTTCTATATATTGGAAAAGGAAAAGAGTTAAAATAAGTGAACGAGAAGAAGAGAATATATCGAAATTAAGCATAAATCTGTTAGGTGTACACTTTAAAAGTTTTGCAGTTTCTTTTCCATTTTGAATCGAATC